TGCAGAGATTTTCTGCAAATTTCATAGACTACTACCCTTTTTTATCTCCTTTCTTTTGCTTTAATTTTATCTTCCTTCTTCTGCACCCTTAAAGTTGAAGCTGAGGTCACTACGTTGAGGGAAGGCTTTTCCTGTGCTTTTGCACAGAGCCGACACTAGTTTCGCTCCAAGCAGTGCTTTCAGAATACCACAGAATTCTGATAGGCTGTGTTCATTTCAGAATATTTTGTAATATCCTTTTTGACTTGTTCTTTAGGTTTGTGTTATTTATAAGTGTGTCTTTTTATTTCTAAGTATTTGAGAATTTTCTAGTTATTTTTCTTTTGCTTATGTCTAGGTTAGTTCCAGTGTACTGAGACAGCATACTTTATATAACTGGAATTCTAAACTTACTGAAGCCTGCTTTGTGGCCCATAATGTGAGGGGGAGCCCGTGTTCACTGAGCACCTACAGAACAGACACAGACTTCACTCTGTGGTTAGGAGAAAGTGGCGTTCTGCGAACGTCAAAGACATCAAGCTGACTGACAGCATTTTCCAAATCTTTATTACATCTTTACAAGTTTTATGTCCCATTATAGTATTAGTGCAAAGCAACACGTCCTCAGAGGAGAAACAAATAAGGCGAGTCCTGCAGCTCCCTCTCAGCTTACTGCCTGGAGAATTTACAGGCCGCATGCGGCTCAGGAAAAGGGAAAAAGGCCCAAGTGGGCCCAGGAAAGCCACCGAGCTGAAGAGACGAGCTGGAAAAACCAGCGAAGCCAAAGTGGCTCGAGTTCCAGCACAGAGTACCAGCGAAGAGAGGGGAACAGAAACTCCAGGCACCCACAAAGGACCTCCTCAATTCTTTCACTCAGCGCTGACCAGCATGTGTCTGAGGAAGCTACTTAAGGCCTGAAAAGCCCACTCAAAAAAAGGAGGAGAAACAATCTTCAGAGTTTACAGAAGAGTGGAAAGAGTTTGTTTTGAGCACCCACTGGGGAAAAATACCTGAAATTCACAGAACACAGCAAGACCATGGCCAAAAGCTACTGAGCACGAGTAGGCCCACAATAAAGGTCTCCACATGGAAGAAGACAACACCCAGCTCAAGGCCGTCCTGTCTGACCTGTCTCACCCAAGAGGCTGAGGTGGGCTGAAAGAAACTGTCTCATGCTCCAGGGTACCAGCTGCTCTGCCCAGCCCTCTTTCCTTCCACCACGTTACCAAAGGCTTATTTATAGCAGTGACTTTTACTGAGTACATCACGACCATCAAGGAAAAATTACAAGTACAAAAAATACAGCTTAACAAGGCAGAGCCAGCTTTAGGACCAGACTCAGATACGGCAAGGGTGCTGGAATTCTGAGGCAAGGAATTAAACAACTGTGATTAGATGCTCCA